CTCCCCCCCCCCCACACACCCAGTGCATGAATTTCGTGCACCAGGCCCCTAGTATATATATATGTTTCAAATATGGTTTTTAGTTGTATCAGAGAGAAGAAGGGAGAGGAGAGAGAAACATCAATGATGAGAAAAATCATCTAATGGTGGCTTCCTGCATGCCCCTTACTGGGGATTGAGCCCCAAAGCCGGGCATGTGCCCTAACTGGGAATTAAACTGTGGGTCAATGCTCAACCACTGAGCAACACTGGCCAGGCTCTCCTAATATTTGTATACTAGGAAAACTATTTTTATATGGAAATCAGTAAGAATACAGAATAATGTAAAAATACATTATTTTCCAGAAACATCTTGTATGAGAATTGGTATAGTCCAGTGATGACGAACCTATGACACATGTGTCAGAGGTGACACGTAAAGTCATTTTTTTGGTTGATTTTTCTTTGTTAAATGGCATTTAAATATATAAAATAAATATCAAAGATATAAATCTTTGTTTTACTATGGTTACAAATATCAAAAAATTTCTATATGTGACAGGCACCAGAGTTAAGTTAGGCTTTTTCAAAATGCTGACACGCCGAGCTCAAAAGGTTCGCCATCACTGGTATAGTCTGTGTCATTTTAAATCATCATAGTGGCACCATGAAAGATCTTAAGTTCTGAAGGATGGTGTTAGTGAGAATTTGCCTGCTAATTGTGCCTGCCATTTTGCTAAAAATGTTTAACCCATTGATGTGCAAAGAATCCTCTTTCATCTTTGAGCATCTTTCCTTAAACTTTGATTATTAAATTATTAGTGTATTAATCACAAAACACTTTTAATTTAAAACTAAATCAGGCGTTTTTTGTTTTTTTTTTTGTTTATTTAAGGGATTATAGATCTTGACAAATATTAATTCTTCTGGTTTTCAATAGGTAAACCACTATACCTGCAGAATTGACTATTGATATTAATTGTCCATTTCTCATTTTCATACACATGTTTTTTAAGTTAAAAATTTAAATGCACACCTAAAATTTAAGTATGTCCATACTTACTGCTTTTAATTTTTCCAAAAAGCAGATCTCTCACATTTTTGGTCTTATTGATAATATTTTGAAAAATCTGAAATAATAATCTGGGTTATAATATAACTGTAACCAAACAAACCCAGGTTCAGCTGCCTGTGCAATGAAAGTCAAACTTGTGGGACAGGTGCTAGTGAAAAAGGAAAGAGGTTTATTTCAGTGCTGGCATCTTGAGAAGAAGTCCTCAAAAATCCCTCTTAAAGTTTCAGTGCAGGTGGAGGTTTTTATAAGGATAGAGAAGGAAAGCAGAACAAAGAGACCAGGGGGCGGGGCTGTGGATGTGCAGCTAGTGTCCTTCCCAGTCCCCGTATGGGTTCCCATGGCCAGTGTCCTTGAGTTGGCCATTCGGTTGAATTCCTGTGTCTGGCGGTTGGTGTTAGCCAGGGCCTAGAAGATCAGGCTGTTCCTTAGGTTCAAACTCCTGAATTGTAAAGTATATTTTAATATGCAAGCTCTAGTTTTGAAAGAAAAATCAGGTTAAAGTAACAAACTGGGTTTAACATTTACTAAGATTAATATGGATAGCTTTATATAAGTATAGGGCATTCATTTCCCATTACATAACAGCTGTTGAAAGATACAATGGTAGAAATTTTAATTGCTTTAATGATTCATCTTTCATTTTAGAAATTGTAATTGCCTCTGCATGTAGTTTGTTCATTTTAAAATTGGCTGATATTTTTTATTGATTTGGGGAAGCTTTTAAAAATTATGGATAGTTAAGTCTGTATTTGTGTTGCAACTATTTTTCCTCATTAAGTTTCTTGCCATTCAGTTTTGCTTATGCTTTTTCTTTCCCTTGAGAACTTAAGACAGTCAACTTTATCTTTCCCTTATGACTTATGTTTTTATGTTTTGTTTTGTTTATATACCTAATTCCTGTATAGACATGGATTATTTTTATGATTTATATTCTGTTACACTGAATTTAATGCACTGTCTTTGGAGTATGTACTCTAGAGTAACCTCTCATCTACTTTGTAATTATTTTTTCTTAGTTATTATTACTTAATTCCCTTTTTACATAATTTAAGAACCAGTTTTTAAGTCTCATAAAATATCACATTACTATTTTGATTGAGATCTTTAATATTATTATGTTGGAAAGAATTGTCATCACAAAAATTATTGAGTTTCCCTAGGAGCATGATATAGCAGATATTGAACTCTTCTCTAAAAGGTTTTACAGATTTCTGTAAAATGTTACCTTTTTTTTTCTACGTATTGCAAACTTTTTAAAAAAAGTTTTCCTTATATATTTTGGAGTTTTTGGTTGCTGTTGTGAGCAAAATTTTCTTCATTAAATTTTAAGAGTGTTTATTGCTGGCTTATAAGAAAGTGATTGGTGGTGGGAGGGGATGGGGGGCGGGTCAATTGGGGAAAAAGGAGACATATGTAAAACTTTAGAAAATAAAGTAAAAAGAGAAGACATTTAAATGGAAAAAAAGAATAAAAGAAAGGGATTGACATTTGTATTTTGGTCTTATATCTAGCCATCTTATATTATCTATAATTATAGTTTGTCTTTTCATTTCAAATATTTATAACATTATTTTTGTGTATTTTCATTCCATTGGTAATGTAGTTGTCATGGACTTAAATGTTAGTGTTCTCTTTTGCTGTAGTTGTGAATTATCCTATATAATAAAAGGCTAATATGCAAATTGACCAAATGGCAGAACGACTGGTTGCTATGACACACACTGACCACCAGGGGGCAGCTAAATGCAGGAGCTGCCCCCTGGTGGTCAGTGCACTTCTACAGGGGGAGCGCCACTTATCCAGAAGCCGGACTTATGGTTGGTAGTACAGCAGTGGTGGGAGCCTCTCCTGCCTCCTCGGCAGTACTAAGCCATCAGTTGGACATCTTCCAAAGGCTCCCGGACTGTGGGAGGGCACTGGCTGGGCTGAGGGAACCCTGCCCTCTCCCCTGCCGCCGGGGGGAACAAATTTCATGCACTGGGCCTCTAATATGAATATAATTTCTTGTGCTGCTCTGGCACAGCCATAGGTGAACCTGAGAGGGGGCAGTGAAGGATGGAGAAGACAGACAAGAGAATAAAGCTGAGACTAGGTGGGATGCTGCCCTCTCTGATGGAGAGACAGCGCTACAGCCTGCAAGCCAAATCTTTCTTTTATAGCCAATTCCACAGGCAAAGTAAGGGCGTGGTCAAGATGTTTACCATGTTCTCACAGGTTTCCAGTCTACTCAGTTACATGCACCTGATCAAGCTTTGTTTACTTGCTGCACCTCCCCCAGCCCATATCATTCAGCCACGTGGGACCACAGGTTCCGACCATAAGGTCAAGCTTACAACCATAGCCTTTGGCTGTAACTGTGTTGGGAGGGCTTTGCCCTCCAAGTTAGGACTTGCATGTGGTTTTGCCACAAGAGGACCATGCCCTCTCATTAGTCTGAGGCTTGAACCTGTCCAAACACTGTAGCCTCTCTCTCTCTAATTAATATCAGAACCAGGAGGAGAATTCAGATCCTTGGACCTACTGATTCTCAGCTCTGAACCCTTGGCAGAGCTGGCACACCCTGAAAGGAGTTTTCATGACCTGGGTCTTCAGTGTGACTTATTTTTCTCTTGCCCTGATCCCAGAGACCTTGCTGCAAGAGCAGGATGTCTTGCTTGTGCTGTGTGTGTGTGTGTGTGTGTGTGTGTGTGTGTGTACATCTTTCTCTTCCTGGGGGAATGAATTTGTGAGAATGAATTTGTGAGAGACAGTATAGTTTTCTTGAAAATGAGGTTGGGAGAAAGTTTGGAACTTGTATTCTGGAGGGGCTTGAACATTTAAAATTTGTTTTTTGTTCTGTAGGGAAGCTGTTAGAGTTTAAGTATAATAGAGGCGTAATTTGTTTTATGCTTTAAAAACTGGAGATGAAAAAAATATTGCCTCAAGCAGAGAGATTGAATATGAGAAATACAAAAAGAGAGCAATTGTATTTAGAGGCAATGGCTATAATGACCTTTAAGAAAGCATTATAGGAGAGTTTCATGGGCATGAGAATGAATAAAACAGCTATTAGGTCATTAGGGAGTTTTGAAAATAAGCTTCATGAAACATGTCTTATAACATTGCAAAAATAATATCCACTTCAGAA